TCAACTGCTTCCATCATCTTTAAGGTGGTGGTGCTAGAAACCTCTCCATTCTTATGGGTTATTGAATACTATAAAGTGACTTCTGCTGTCTTAAGGCTTCCCTGGTAGCTCAGACAGGAAAGCATCTGCAAGTAATGTGGGAGACCTGGGTTCAATCCCTGGGTGGGGAAGATTCCCTGAAGAAGGAAATGGCAACCCACTCCAGTACTCTTGGCTGGAAAATTCCATGGATGGAGGAACCTGGTAAGTTGTAGTCCATGGGATCACAAAGAGTCGGACACAGCTGAGCAACTTCACTAGTAGCTGTCTTAGAGTTAAAACAACCAAAAATCCTAAGTACATATGGTTTAAAAAAATCAATCTGTACAGAGAGGTCTACTCATTCCTTCCCAAGGGAAAGCTATTTCTTTCAGTTCAGTTCAGTTGCTCAGTCGTGTCCAACTCCTTGCGACCCTATGGACTGCAGCATGCCAGGCCTCCCTGTCCATCACGAACTCCCAGAGTTTACTCAAACTCATGTCCATTGAGTTGGTGATACCATCCAACCATCCCATCCTCTGTCGTCCCCTTCTCCTCCTGCCTCCAATCTTTCCCAGCATCAGGGTATTTTCCAACGAGTCAGTTCTTTTCATCAGGAGGCCAAAGTATTGGAGGTTCAGCTTCAACATCAGTCCTTCCAATAAACACCCAGGGCTGATTTCATTTAGGATGGACTGGTTGGATCTCCTTGCAGTCCAAAGGACTCTCAAGAGTCTTCTCGAACACCACAGTTCAAAAGCATCAATTCTTCAAAGCTCAGCTTTCTTTATAGTCCAACTCTCACATCTATACATGACTACTGGAAAAAATCATAGCTTTGACTAGACAGACCTTTGTTGGCAAAGAAATGTCTTTGCTTTTAAATATGCTGTCTAGGTTGGTCATAACTTTTCTTTCAATGAGCAAGCGTCTTTTAAGTTCATGGCTGCAATCACCATCTGCAGTGATTTTGGAGCCCAACAAAATAAAGTCTGTCACTGTTTCCCATCAATTAATTGCCCATCAATTTGCCATGAAGTGATGGGACCAGATGCCATGATCTTAATTTTCTGAATGTTGAGTTTTAAGCCAACTTTTTCACTCTCCTCTTTCACTTTCATTAAGAGGGTCTTGAGTTCTTCTTCGCTTTCTGCCATAAGGGTGGTGTCATCTGCATACCTAAGGTTCTTGATATTTCTCCTGGCAATCTTGATTCCAGCTTGTGCTTCATCCAGCCCAGCGTTTCTCATGATGTACTCTGCATATAAGTTAAATAAGCAGGAAGACAATATACAGCCTTGATGCACTCTTTCCAATTTGGAACCAGTCTATTGTTCCATATCGTTCTAACTGTTGCTTCCTGACCTGCATACAGATTTCTCAGGAGGCAGGTCAGGTGGTCTGGTATTCCCATCTTTTAAGAATTTTTCACAGTTTGTTGTGATCCACACAGTCAACAGCTTTGGTGTAGTCAATACAGCAGGAGTAGATGTTTTTCTGGAACTCTCTGGCTTTTTCAATGATCCAATGGATGCTGGCAATTTGATCTCTGGTTCTTCTGCCTTCTCTAAATCGAGCTATTTCTTTAGATAGTTAATCAATGTCTTTAAATTATATTTGGAGAAGGAAATGGAAACACACTCCAGTATTCTTGCCTGGTGAATTCCATAGACAGAGGAGCCAGGTGGGCTACAGTCTAAGGGGTCACAAAGAGTCAGACACAGTGAGTGGCTAACACACACAAATGACATTACTACATTGGGAGGTGGAATCCTGTGACAATGGGCTCAGGAGACAGGAATCTGGATTTGGATTCTGACTCAGCATTAGCTGAGTGGTCTGAGTAAATTACTTAACCTCTCTGAGCTTCAGTTTCCTTTCTTATAGGATTGTTGTGAGAACTAAAAGTAAGTGAATCCATACAAAGCAATTGGAAAAGTGCCTGGTGCATAGTGGGGTGTCATCAACGACAATAGCTAATCAGTATTGGGTATTGCTTTTTTTCATTTGGTTGACTTAAAAATTTGTATGTTATTCATTTATTTCTTACTAGGAAAAATAAAGATTTCATTTATTTTTACACTTTTCTTATACCCTTCCCCATCTTCTACTTATATCATTATTTCTCTAGCTTTATATCCTCTATTAGGAAGCTTTGCACTTGTAAACATTTTATTTACATATTTATTTGTTACACTCTCAACTGGAGCTACTATTTCTTTACTCCTAGCTTTGTAAACAACTTTTCCCTTCAGAGCTTCGGCTCCCAAGTTCTAGAAACGTATTTTAATTTTTATATTCATTGACTGAATTGTTAAATATTATAAATACTTCTGTTTTAAAACAGCATCCAAAATAATCAAAATGGGAAAACCAGGACTTGGACATACATTAATTTACCTTAGATTTTTTTAAAAAATCAAACAAGAGAGTTTATACATTTGTGACATTTTAATACATTTTTTTTAGAGCTGCTGCTGCTAAGTCACTTCAGTCGTGTCTGACTCTGTGCGACCCCATAGACGGCAGCCCACCAGGCTCCCCCATCCCTGGGATTCTCCAGACAAGAACACTGGAGTGGGTTGCCATTTCCTTCTCCAATGCATGAAAGTGAAAAGTGAAAGTGAAGTCGCTCAGTCGTGTCTGAATTTTCGAGACTCCCATGGACCTTAGCCTACCAGACTCCACTGTCCGTGGGATTTTCCAGGCAAGAGTACTGGAATAGGTTGCCATTGCCTTCTTTTTAGAGCTAAATTGTACCAAATAACTGCTCGTGCTTCTGGGCAGAACTTCAGTTTTTCCTGATGTTTCTAATTGGCTTCATTTTCACCCCTTGCTCTGTTTATCTTCAACATTTCCTCCATTTCTTTCCAACTGTGCCTCATATGATACCGTGTCCTCTGTCCCCACAGACTCTGGACTTTTTATCCCATTGTGGACTGGTTTCTCTCTCAGTCTGATGTGTGCCCAGTTGCAATCTTTGCATTCCCTTCTAGCTGGCTTGGTGTTCCTGACTCCTGGATCCCACATCTATCTCTCTTGTGGGTATCCTTTATCTTCCTCCATAATTACACAAACACACCACCTATTGTTTTTCCCTGCACCTCAACTTCAAGTAACTTTCTGAAAAGGCTGGCGAAGAGTGAAGGCTGCTGTGAATATGGGATGGGACGTGGGGTTGGTGAGCTTGTCCCCTGCTCTCCCCTCGGCCTCCCTCTCATCTTGCTCCCTCTCTGGGGCTCTGCCCAACAGACCAGTCTTCTCTCCTGTGAACACGCTCCCTGTTTCTCTCCCTCTCCTGCACTCCTCTTTATTCAGCTATCACTTCTTCATCCAGTGATTCTTCAAATATTTGTTGAACTCTCTGGTCTCCTGTTGACCCCATGATTGTCTTTATTAGCAGCAGAGGGAGAAGAGGGAGGCTATGGTTCTTGACCCAGTGAGTGGGGAGGAATCCAGTCTACCAGGGGCAAGACCTCTGACCTTGGCCAAATCATAAAACTTCTGTACTTCAGCTTCCTTATCTGTAGATGGGGATACAATGTACACATATCAAATGGAATAACATACAAGTTACCGTGTGTAAAGTTTCAGAGCCAAGACCAATGCAGAGTGACGACCACAAACACAAGTCACTCTTACCCGCAGCTGTTATTATACCTGTGAGTACCTTTACTATCATTTCAGTCAGGTCTCAGGAGGAGGAGTTGACAAAGGCTCTCTTGCCTTCTGAAAGCAGTAGCTAAATGTAATCAACATCTGCTTTCCCTCCTCTTCTCCCATGGCAAGATAATCACATGCAGAACCAAAATAAATTGTTTATATATGAAGACCTGAGCTTTTTTTTTTTTTTTAAAGACCACTGAGAATGGGAAAGTCTGAAAGGATGGACACCCTCATATATTATGAGTGCGAACATAAATTATGACAGTTTCTTTGCATAACAGTGTGGCTATAGGTATGAAAATGTTTTAGGTATTGATGTCTTGTGATTTAGTAATTGTACTTCCAGAAATAGCTTAAGGAAACAGTCTCAAATGTGAGTGAAGTTTAATACAAGGAGAACGTTCTTTATTATTTACACAAGGTATTAGAGACAACCTAAAGTCCAATAGTCAAGGGAAGACAGCAGAGAGGACGAGGCACCATTCGGGGTCCTCAGCCAGGAAGGGCAGGGATACAGGAAGTGGGGTGGGGCTGGTGGGACTCTAGGCCCTTGTGAGATAAAGGCTCTTGCAGAAGCAAGGAAGACTTGGGCTGTCGGAGTTGCACCACCAGGAACTTTGTCAAGGCTGACTCGAGCCTGGGGAGCAAGACATCGTTTTAGAATGAGAGAGTCATTTACCAATAAACATACATCCGCAAGTAATTATTTTCATATATTAAATGGAGTAGAGTATAATCATCACAAACCTGGGATCTGGATCAGAAAGACTTGGGTTCAAGTCCAGGCTCTGGCACCAGTGTGAAAAACTGGGCTGACCTAAAGTTAGATTAGTTTCAGGAGCCTGCACGTCATAGACACTGGATCAACATCACCTGTTACCAGTTAGTAACAGAGTTGCTCCAACCTCATGTAATTTCCAGAGTATTCCTTCCTACCTATTCTTCTTTCTCTGGCTTTATTACTCCTATAACTTCACAGAGGACTGTGAAGAGGACGGTCTTCTCCTTGTACCCCAACAGGATAACAGGACTACGACTCGGAGGAAGTTGGACGGAGATGAGTAACTTTCCTTAACTAGTGACCTACAGAGCCTAGGAGACAGAGAACCACGCTGGGTTAAGTCCCCGCTGGCACTGGTGGCCGTCCCAGGGGAACCCACCGAGGCCTCAACCCTCACTGCTCCTTGAAGCCACTGCTCACTCGTGATTGAGCCCACATTCTGTTTTCTCTTCCCCAAGGGTGAGGTCACACCTCCTTCCAGCCTGACGGAAACAAGGAGCTGACGGGAGATCTCTGAGACCCTGCTGCTGCCATCATGAGCTCAGAAAACCTCGGAGACCGCTTAGGTAGGCAGCTGCCTCTTTTCTGTCCAGTTCCTGCATGTGACCCAGAATTGAGGGTGGTTCCTCCAGGCAGAGTTAACCTACACAGGAATCAAGAACCAAGAAGAGGATGGATAAGCATACTGGAGCCCCCCAGAGGGGCCACGTGGAGTTCCCCCAATGAGGCTGTGTCCACAGAGCCTCTTTCCCAGCCCTCTCCTTGGGGATCCACTTGCTAGGTACTCTCTTCCTCCCCCACTGCCCTCTAGGAGGTGACTCAGAAGTGAGACCAGGACAGCTCATGGGGAGGGGGACAGCAGAGAGAGTCCCCAGGGCCAGATGGGGCAGCGAGAGGAGGTCCCCCAGGGTCCCTGGAGCTCTTCCTGCCCTCTCCCTGGCCCAGCCTCCTCCTGCTCCCAGACCCTGGGGCATCACCGCACACACCATTCCTACAGCTCTCACCCTGCTGCTCACCCAGCCGCTCTGCAAGAGTCAGCGGACAGTGAACCCAGTCTACCTTTGCCACCTCCCACCTGGAGGGGAAGGGTGACGGGGTTGTTCACAGGATCACATCTGGCTCCACCCCTCCTCCACCTGGCTGATCCCCTCCCCTGCCCATCCTGAGTGTCTCTGATTAGGATCCTCTCACATAGCAGTCTTACTCAGCGGTGGGTGGTCCTAAACCCTTTTTTAGAATTAGGTCACATTGGTTTACAATGTTCTATAAGTTCATGCGAACAGCACTGGACTTCTTCTTCTGTGTGTGCTGTGGTGTGCTGCTGCAGCCTCTGCTTAGCTGCGCAGTCGTTGTCGATGCTTTGCGACCCCCAGGACTGCAGCCCACCAGGCCCCTCTGTCCATGGGATTCTCCAGGGAACGATATTGGAGTGGGTTGCCAAGCTCTCCTCCAGCTGCAGCATACTCACCACCAAAACTTAGTTGGAAAAATCCCTAGTCGCAGAATGAAGAAATCACAGGAGTTTAAAATAGGAGGATTGAAAGTCATGTCCAAGAAGTGTCTGACACTTGACCTTGGGTTCCACCTCTGAGCTTCCTGCTCACTGGCCTTGGCTTGTCCCTTCTCCTCTCTCACTTTCTTCTTCTGTGAAATAAGAATAATGTGTACCAGGAAACACATCTTACATCGTGTCCCAGCCCCCCATATATATATATATATATATATATCCTAGTGCCTACGTCTTACCTTCAGTTCCATAACCTCTAGATCCCTGAAATCACACAGGGATTTTGGTAACTCATTTGAGCAGTGATCTTGCCCTGTACTGATCCGAGGTTAATTATTTTCATCACATTCTTTATCCCATTTAATGTGAATATTCTTTTGTTTCACTGCGAAAACACAAAAGCATTCATTTGCAGGGTGCTGCCAGTCTCTGCTAGAAGTAAATCAAAAACACACAGGCCCTGTACTCTCTCTCTTTGTGTGTGTGCATGTTCTCATCTGTTCATTTGTGTTCAATTCTGTGTGACCTCATGGACTGTAGCCAGCCAGCCTCCTCTGTTCTTGGGATTTTTCCAGGCAAGAATACTGGGAGTGGGTTGTCATCTCGTATTCCAGGGGATCTTCCCAACCCAGGGATCGAACCCACGACTCCTGTGTCTCCTGCATTGGCAGGCCAATTCTTTACCACTGTACCATCAAAAAGCCCTCGTTCTCTTTCTAAAAATTAAAATTGTAGATTCCTGGAGACATCTAAATCTCAGGATTAGATCATGATTCTGGAGGTTTGGAAGTCCAAGATCATCAAGGTAGTGGTGATTTCTGGTGAGACCTCTCCACCTGGCTTGCAATTCCTAACTGCCCTCTAACTGTGTCCTCACATGGCCTTTCCTCTGGAGGAGGGGGCAGGAAGAGAGAGAATCTGGTCTCTTCTTTTCTAATAAAGGCAACAATCTTATTGCATTAGGGCCTCACGCTTATGACTTCATTTTTCCCCAATTGCCTCTTTAAAGGCCAACCTTCAAATACAGTCACTGGGGGTTAAACCTCGACACATGAATGGGGGTGAGGGCGGGAACAGCAGGTCCATCCAGGGCCCGGGTGACTCTACCAACAGCGCCCAGGTGGTCACTGCTCAGGAAGGTGAGTTTTAACGATTTATGCCAAAGAGCATTTAAAAAAAATTTACTCTAGAATTTGTTGTAGTTATCATATTATGATAACAAAAGCAGATCATTCTTAAGGCATAAACTTTGTTTATTAATTTAAATAAAAATACATGATCCCCGTCACACATAGATACAATTCTGAAAGGTTACTTCTGTGAGCTGGGAGCGAATCCAGTATCCTTGGCCTCCAAGGAGAAGACTTCAATCTGGAGCCAGAGACAAGGCTGGATCACTCAGAGCTTTTTTGTAGTAGAGTTTTATTAAAGTGTAAATGGGGTAGAGAAAGCTTCTAAGACAGACTTCAGAAGGGGACAGAAAGAGTGCCCCCTTGCTAGTTTTTAGCAAGGCGTTATATAGCTGATAGCAAACTGCTAATCAGATAAAAGAAATGCCTCAGACAGAGAGTGTTGCACCTGGCTCCTCTCCCACAACATGCATTTTGAGATAGAATGGCACAAGGGGACTCACCTCTGGCCATAAAACAATTGACATGAATCTTGAAGAAAGGCAGATTTCTAAGCAAATGAATAGTTCCATTAACACAGCTTAAGAAAAATATTTCTATGAGAAATACACGTTAGTTAGCTCAAGGTTTGAGAAAAAGTTAAGTTCAGGGGGCCCCAGGTGTCGTCATGGCAACACAGGATTACAAGAAACCTTTTAATCTCATGCAGATAAGGGGGAAAAAAAACGTCTGCCACTATCAGTTTATTTCCTCCTGGGGAGCCCTGTCCTTCCTCCCTGACTGTCATCCTTTATTTCTCCCCTTTTCATTTAGGAGAATATGGCTACTAGGGAAAAGGGGTGGCAATTCTGTTCAGACTGCTTCGAGCTGGCCAGGGACACAGACCCTAAATTGTTGAAGCAGCATGTTCTGTTTACCCTCATGTTGAGGATCTTTGATCCAGGAGGCCCCAAGTAATAGTTGGAGAAGGCAGTGGCACTTGGAGGAGCTTGAACCACCATTTGTGACTTAAAAGCCTTCATGTGGTCAGAAACAAGTTGAATCAATCAATACATATAGATTTGGAAACTATGCACTTGATGTGCTAAGTCATTTCATCACGTACGACTCTTTGCAACCCTATGTACTGTATGTAGCCCGCCAAGCTCCTCTGTCCATGGGATTCTCCAGGCATGAATACTGGAGTGGGTTGCCATGCCCCTCTCCAGGGGATCTTCCTGACCCAGGGATCAAACCCACATCTCCTACATCTCCTGCACTGGCAGGCAGATTCTGTACCACTAGCACCACCTGGAAAGCCCAACTATGCACCTAGTATCGTATCATACCAGAGATAAGGCTGATGTCCTCAGAGAATACATGGATCATTGAAAGTCAATGATTAACCTAGTGAATAGCATAAAATATTGGGGAATATTGGAAAACTAACAGATTTCTCTGGACATGGTTTATCTTGCCCTTCTGAGAGACCAGTAGATGTAGATGAGATTAGTTTAGAAAAGGGGTCTCATTTAGTTCAGAGAATCGTCAGAGTCCAGTATAGTTCTGTGTTAATCAGAGACTAAAGAACCTTTGTAAAGAGAACTAGGCTTGGGAATCAAGCAGTCCTATTTTGAATTAGCATGTTTTAGTCAAAGGTATGGAGAAGGCAATGACACCCCACTCCAGTACTCTTGCCTGGAAAATCCCATGAACGGAGGAGCCTGGTAGGCTGCAGTCCATGAGGTCACTAAGAGTCAGACATGACTGAGCAACTTCACTTTCACTTTTCACTTTCATACGCTGGAAGAGGACATGGCAACCCACTCCACTGTTTTTGCCTGGAGAATCCCAGGGATGGGGGAGCCTGGTGGGCTGCCGTCTATGGGGTCGCACGGAGTCAGACACGACTGAAGTGACTTAGCAGTAGCAGCAGTCAAAGGTATGGAATTAATGATAAGCATTGGTTAAAAATTTCTGTAATGTCCTCCAATGCCAAGTGACCAGTAACATCCTATTTCCCACTATTCCTTGATGAGAGGTAGAAGGCATAAAGAATATTCCCAGCTATAAAATAAAATGCACTCCAACGCCTATAAATCCTAAGATAAATATTTTTTTAAATAGAAGAAACTCACTGAATCAAATGATTGCTAAGCAGAGCAAATGCAGTCTACATAAAACTAAGGTAAGAAACCTTTTAATTACACAGGAAATCAATGGCATGATTAATGATTTTAAGAGAAGAATCATTTTTCCTGTAGCCTCACTGCTGTGAATGATATCTTCATGAGCCTGGGCCACCTTCTCCAGTGAATACCGGGAACCTATTACTGGTCTCAACTAACCAATTCATTCCGGCTTGGAGGGCTGCTGCAAACTGCTGAAATTCCTCCTTGGAGGATGAAAGGAGAGCTACTCCTTTTATGCTAGATTCCTTTGTCATGGATCCTGTGGGTTTATTTCAATAGGACCTCTGGGGCAAAAACTATTACTCGTCATCCATGTGAAAAAAATTTAAATCTTCACTAAGTTTGACATTAACAAACATTTCAATAATCACATCAACTCTTTTTTCACCAACAGATTTCTTAGTTTTATCAATATAATTAGCTTCTTTGTGATTAAACACTTCGTGAGCTCCGTTTTGCCAAACAGTCTTTTGTCCTTCCTCAGTAGTAGCTGTGCCCAGAATCTTTAAGCCATAAGCTCTAACCATTTGGCTTGCTGATCTTCCAGCTCCTCCACCAGCCCCAGAACACTTCCTCCAGCTTTCACACGGGCACTGTGGAGCAGACTCGATAAGCAGTAAAACATGAGATGCTGATGGCAGCTCCTTGTTTAAAGTCAAGTTTTTGGGGGAAGTGTGTGAACAGTGTGATGGGCTCCCAGAGCATACTCAGCATAGCCCCCAGAGATCGTCCTGGTAGTGAATGTCACCTTTCTTGAAAGCAGATACATTCTCTCCAGCAGCTTCTACTATCCCAGCCACATCTCTGCTAGGAGTATACGGTAGAAGTGGTTTTATACTGTGAGTGCCAGAGCAAATTTATACGTCTACGGGGTTTACACCACATGTTTGGACTTTGTTAGAACCTGGTGGTCTTCCAGAATTGGTACAGCAACATCCAACTGGAGTTTCAGCACTTCAGGTCCACGAAATTAAAAAACTCAAATAGCTCTCTTCAACTTCTGTCACCATGGTGATCTAGATACCTGTTCTAGAGTGGATTGTCAAAATCTGTGAGCCTTCCCCCAGGTCACACAGGGTTTAAAAAAAAAAAAAGCTACCCAATACTGTTTATGATCCACCACAAAATTTCTGCGCTTTCCCAGTGACTCAGACAGTAAAGAGTCTGCCAGCAATGTGGGAGATCTGGATTTTACCCCTAGGTGGGGAACATGCCCTGGAGGAGGGAATGGCTACTCACTCCAGTGTTCTGGCCTGGAGAACCCCATGGACAGAGGAGCCTGGCGACCTACGGCCCACAGGGTCACAAAGAGTCAAATAGGCCTGAGCGACTAACACTTTCCCTTTTTCTCTTCACAAATTCTTCTAACCTTATTCCCTTTCCTCTCATCTAGATATTGAGATCTTCTTTGAGGATGTCGCTGAGTGTCTCTGGGACATACTCAGCAGAGAGCAACTGCTTCTCCTGCTGACTGAATTCCTGAGGAAAATTGAGGCGCAGTCTGGTTTGTCCAGTAACCTCTACAGGTGCATTGGTGTGTCAGGAAGGTCACCCACACCCCGCAGCACCAGAACAGGTTTCTCCTAGCAGGCACACCCCCTCCAAGCAGGACCCTATGCTGGAGGTAGGATGTTCCTTCTCAGTATCTCATGAGGAATGTTTCCTCCATGTCATTTGCTGGCATTGAACAACCTCAGGTTGAGAGAAGATGAAACCTGTAAGGAAGGGGCAGGTTATGTGACCTTGGACTAGTTACTGAGCTATTCTCTGCCTTCGCTTCATCATCTGTTCAGTTTTATTGTGAGGATACTGAGATCTTGCATGCAATGATCTTCCCATAATGACTGATACAGAGTAGGTATTCAATCAATATTAACATTTAAAAAGATTGTTGGGAAGAGTTTTTTTTCTGATGATGAGAACCAAGCAGAATTTCCTTTGGGGCAAGTCAGAAAATCTTGATGCCATCATGTGTATTACTCAGGCTTCTACCTAGATAAAGCCTTTCTAGTCCCCATCTTAGGAACTGTACCAACCCTGCAGGATCCCGCTGGCCCACAAAGCAGAGAGGCTGGAGAGGAATGGGTGGAGCTGATGGGATCCTGGATCTAGCCCTGCCCAGCTCCTGGGTTCTGGGCTTATGTGTTACAGTTTCAGATTTGCATGTGTCCAGTGGGAATAGTAATTCAGTCTGATGGGCTATGGTGATGGCCTCAGAGTGAACTGCAGGGTCAGAGGTGGGGAAGCAAGTACAATCATCTCATCCAAAGGGCTCGGAAAGGCCTAGACCAGGGTCAGACCCAGGGGTCACGGTGGAGCCGAAGGTCCAGGTTGGAGAACTAGTAGGTAGCCTTGGGCAGCAGGACCAGGACTAGAGTGAGGAGAGTGGGCCCCGAGGACACAAAACTGAAGAGGCTGTGACCCTAGCAGAGGTCCCCTGAGTGGGAGGGGGGACATTTCTTCCCTCCCTGACGGGATCCCCTCATGCTGGGCTAGAGGGCCCTGGGTGACCGTGTCTGCAGCCCCTGCCTGGGACCTGGGTTCTCAGTCCATCTGGGACCCTCTTCTAAGCTACGTGGACTTCCCCTGACAGTAGAAGGCCGTGTGGCTCAGTGAGCCCTCCAGGGTCACAAAGAGTGGCTGTGATTGTGTGTCATTTGAGGGATTCTGAGGAGCCTCATGCATCCGCACCCAAGAGGAAAATGCTTCCTCCACCAATTGTGCAAATGCAGGTCTCTTCAGGCTCAGCCATTCAGATGGGTGTTTCCTCAAGCCTCTTGAACCTTTGGAGGTTCCATAAAGTTGCCCATGACCTTGGGGTGCAGGGTCATGAAGCTGTCACAGATTAACATGTGACACCTGAGAGGTCAGGGGTGCTGAGTGCTGGGTCAGGAGTCAATGAGGTGGGCTGGAGAGTCCAAGAGGAACCAGCAACACATCTCCTGATCTCCAGGCAGCTGGGGCAGTGGATGGACTCAGGGACCTTCTGCTGGGAAGGTCAAGGACACAAGCCATAGAAGACAACTGATGGCAGACTAAAGGACTGTTACGGCCTTCTAGTTTTGACTTTGGGCTTTTTTTTTTTACAAATTCTAAGTCATAGGGACAGCCATTGTGCAAAATGTGAGGGCACAGTGCCCAGGACTATGCTTTCATGTGAACCAACGGCAAATTTAGGGGATTCCCAAAACCCCCCTGAGGTTTGAGAATTCCCTATAGAACAGACAGGACTCACTGAGAGCCATCATGATCCCAGTATATCACAGGGCGCCTGTGGGTTTCCATCAGCCACAGGGCAGAGTCTGGGCGGATTTCACCCCCGAAGCTTCGATTGTCCCCAGGATGCATTACTGTTCTGGAGCTCGGTGAGTGGCAGGGCACAGGGAACACTGCCTGCCAGGGACAGGCACCCGTTTAAAGAAAAATTATCCTGACTTGTGGTCTCCAGCCCCTCCCAGAGGTCAGACGAATGTCCTAGAGTCCAGCTCCTCCAGAGGCCCCGTCAACGTCTCCTTGTCAGACTGAACAGTGGCCAAAAGGCCCAGGCAGACGAGGACACTCGCATCAGCCAGAGTAGTCTAGGGGCTTAGGGACCCTTCCCTGTAGCCAAGGGCCAAGATCAGGCGGACCCCTCACCACACTCCGAGGCCCTTGAACGCAGGCTTCTGCTCTAACCCCACTTCTCTTCGTTTCTCTGTGGAGTTCCCACTCACCAACTCTTTCGAAGTGCTGGTGTTGCCGGCCGCTGAGAGGTGTTTACAAATACCTTTTTTTTTTTGGCTGAGCCACATGGCTTGTGGGATCCTTGTTCCCTGACCAGGGACTGAGTCATGCCCGAGGCAGTGAGACTGCAGAGTCATAACCTCTGCACCACCAGGGAATTCCATCCAATATCTCTCTTAAGTTACGAGTGTCCTAAGGTGACTTTTGTTTATCTGTTAGAGGATTGAAGAAGTATATGGAGCCTCTACAAGGTATAAAACCTCTGTTTAATGTTGAAAGAGGAAATTTTACTTTTGTAAATTTCTCTTCTAATCGATTTAGAGTACTATCTCTGTATGTATGCAGAATGGACATTTTTGAACCTATATTACAGACAAGCAAATGGCCTTTCTAAGCCCTTGACCTTCATGTTACAGGGAAGACATGAATGCACTACACAAATATCTGAATGAATTGAAAAGAGACTTGGCTGGGAAGGACCAGGAAATGCTCCCAAAAGAGCAGCTGGACAGGAGGAGGTTTCTGAAGAAGTTTCCTCGGGTGACGCAGCAGCTGGTGGAGCTCATGAGCAAGCTCCGGGAGCTTGCAGACAATGTAGACAAAGTCCACAGGGACTGTACCATCTCCACTGTGGTGACCCACAGCACCGGCGCTTTATCTGGCGCTCTGACCATCCTTGGCCTGGCTCTGGCACCCGTGACAGCCGGGGCCAGTATGGCACTCTCAGTCACTGGGATAGGGCTGGGAGCAGCGAGTGCTGTGACCGCTGTGTCCACCAGCATCGTGGAACATGTAAGTAGGTCATCAGCAGAAAACAAAGCCAGTCAATTGATGTCAATTGCTGTCAAGAAATGGAAGGTGCTCCTAGAGGTACTCAAGAGCAACCCCCACATTGTTGTCACAACAGAGAAATTGGCAAAAGCCGAGAAACACCTTGAAAGAAATATCCATGCCATGGAGACAGGCGAAGCCAACCCTGACTCTGCAGCCAATGCAAACATCCTCATGAGCCCTGGGAGAATCTCAGCCCCAGCCATCCAGCAGGAAGAGGCAGCTTTCAAAGGCACGGCTTCGGCAGTTACCAAAGGAGCCCGGATAGTGGGTGCAGCCACTGTAGGCGTCTTCCTCCTGGTGGATGTGGGCTTCCTGGTGAAGGAGTCAATGCACCTGCATGACGGTGCAAAGACGGCATCAGCTGAAAACCTGCGGCAGCGGGCCGGGGAGCTGGAGCAGAAGCTGGAGGAGCTCACCCAGATCTATAAGCATCTGCAAGAGGAGCCAACTCCACCGCCCCCAGAGCACTGAGGGTCCAGGGACACATTCCGGGTCAAGGTGCAGAGGCACCTTGTTAGGGGAAAAAGGAGAGTGAGACAAAATTGTTGGAGCTGAGGGTTAGGAAATTGGCATTTCTGCAGCTGAGCTCGGGAGGGGAGGGGTGAATGTAGGTGATTGATGGGGAGAGAGGAGTAGCCTGGATTAGGGAGGAAGAGGGGAATAGAGAATGGGCGGGGGCCGAGGGAGAAACCTCTTATTTTTTTCATACTATGAACCTTTTGTTTTGTATTGAGGAACAGTCGATTAACAGTGGTGTGATAGTTTCAGGTGGACATGAAGCTACTCAACCATACACACACATGTATCCATTCTCCCCCAACTCCCTTCCCATCAGACACCACTTACTTTGAACTAAAGAAGTCACTGGGGGCAGAATAAAAGGAGAGGCAGGGGAACTAGCAACACGAGACCAGAAATACAAAAGGGTGGAAAGTGGGAGATAGGGAGGTAGGATTGTTGGGATCCAGGAGAAGTAGCAGGGGCTGCTCTATTGCCCTTCCCAGGGTTTGACGCCCCAGCAAGAAGAGTCTCCTCCTGGCCGTGGTCTCCAGCTATACTGCTCCAACAACTCAGCTTTAATTCCAGCAGTTTATCTCAATTAGGCTGTGACTTTTTTTGTCTGCTTGTTTCTTTAATTGAAGTAGAGTTGATTTACAATATTCTGTTAGTTCAGGTATACATAATGTGTGTATATATCTATATTATTTTAAATTTTTTCATTACAGATTATAATAAGATACTGAATATTATTCCCTGTGCTGTATGTAAAGTCCTTGTTATTTTAATCTATTTTATGTATGGTAGTGTGCATCTGTTAATCCCATACTCCTAGTTTACCCCTCTCTCTCTCTAGTAACAACAAGTTATGTTTTCTATGACTCTGAGTCTGTTTTGGTTTATTCATAAGTTCATTTGTACTCTTTTTTTGGCCATGCCCAGCAGTTTGTGGGATCTCAGATCCCTGACGTGGGATAAACGTGGCCATAGCAGCAAAACCACCAAATTCTAACCACTAGACCACCAGGGAACCACCTAGACTATTTCTTAGATTCTCCATATAAGTGATATTGTATGTCTGTCTTTTCTGCCTGACTTACTTCACTTAGTATGGTCACCTCTAGATCCATTCATGTTACTACAAAAGGAATTATTTCATCCTTTTGATGGCTGAGTAATATTCCATTGTTTGTATGTACCACATCGTCTTTATCCCTTCATCTGTTGACAGACATTTAGGTTACTTCCAAGTTTTGGTTATTATAAATAGCGCTGCTATGAACATGGGGTGCATGTATCTTTTCAAATGGGAACTTTTTCTTTTCCAAACATATGCCCTGAAGTGGGATTGCTGGATCACATGATACCTCTGTTTTTAGTCTTTAAGGAACTTCTTTACTGTTTTCCATAACAGCCACACCAATTTACATTCCCAGGAACAGTGTAGGAGGCTTGCCTTTCCTCCACATCATCTCCAATATTGATTGTCTGTAGACTTTTACTTGATGGCCCATCTGATTGGTAGGGGGTGATCCCTTATTGTAGTTTTGATTAGCATACACACAGGATGAGATGGTTGGATGGCATCACTGACTCAGTGGAGATGACTTTGAGTAGACGCCAGGAGTTGATGATGGACAGGGAGGCCTGGTGTGCTGTGGTCCATGGGGTCGCGAAGAGTTGGACATGACTGAGTGACTGAACTGAACTGAACTGAACTGAATAATTAGCAGTGTTCAGCCTCTTTACATATGCTGGCTAGCCATCTGTATATCTTCTTTGAAGAATGGTCTACATCGCACTTCAGGCAGTGACTTCTTGATGACAATGGTGGTGATGATGGTGGTGGCAAATCTTCCAGCAAACAAAAGCCCAGGACCAGATGGCTTCACAGCTGAATTCTACCAAAAATTTAGAGAAGAGCTAACACCTAGCTTACTCAAACTCTTCCAGAAAATTGCAGAAGAAGGTAAACTTCCAAACTCATTCTATGAGGCCACCATCACCCTAATTCCAAAACCAGACAAAGATGCCACAAAAAAGGAAACTACAGGCCAATATCACTGATGAACATAGATGCAAAAATCCTTAACAAAATTCTAGCAAACAGAATCCAACAACATATTGAAAAGATCATACATCATGACCAAGTGGGCTTTATCCCAGGAATGCAAGGATTCTTTAATATACACAAATCAATAAATGTAATACACCACATTAACAAATTGAAAGATAAAAACCATATGATTATCTCAACAGATGCAGAAAAAGACTTTGACAAAATTCAACATCCATTTATGATAAAAACTCTCCAGAAAGTAGGAATAGAAGGAACATACCTCAACATAATAAAAGCTATATATGACAAACCCACAGCAAACATTATCCTCAATGGTGAAAATTTGAAAGCATTTCCCCTAAAATCAGGAACAAGACAAGGGTGCCCCCTCTCACCACTACTATTCAACATAGGTTTGGAAGTATTGGCCACAGCAATCAGAGCAGAAAAAGAAATAAAAGGAATCCAATAGGAAAAGAAGAAGTGAAATTCTCACTGTTTGCAGATGACATGATCCTCTACATTGAAAACCCTAAAGACTCTACCAGAAAATTACTAGGGCTAATCAATGAATATAGTAAAGGTGCAGGATATAAAATTAACACACAGAAATCCCTTGCATTCCTATACACTAAAAATGAGAAAACAGAAAGAGAAATTAAGGAAACAATATCATTCACTATTGCAACAAAAAGAATAAAATGCTTAGGAGTATATCTACCTAAAGAAACCAAAGACCTATATATAGAAAACTATACAACACTGATGAAAGAAATCAAAGAGGACACAAATAGATGGAGAAATATACCATGTTTATGGATTGGAAGAATCAATAGTGTGAAAATGAGTATACTAGGCAAAGCAATCTATAGATTCAATACAATCCCTATCAAGGTACCAACGGTATTCTTCACAGACCTAGAACAAATAATTTCACAATTTGTATGGAAATACAAAAAACCTCGAATAGCCAAAGCAATCTTGAGAAAGAAGAATAGAACTGGAGGAATCAACCTGCCTGACTTCAGACTATACTGCAAAGCCATAGTCATCAAGACAGTATGGTACTGGCACAAAGACAGAAATATAGATCAATGGAACAGAATAGAAAGCCCAGAGATAAATCCACATAACTCTGGACACCTTATCTTGGACAATGGGGGCAAGACTATACAATGGAAAAAAGACAACCTCTTTAACAAGTGGTGCTGGTCAACCACTTGTAAAAGAATGAAACTAGAACACTTTCTAACACCATACACAAAAGTAAACTCAAAATGGATTAAAGATCTAAATGTAAGACCAGAAACTATAAAATTCCTAGAGGAGAACATAGGCAAAACACTCTCCAACAAAAATCACAACAGGATCCTCTATGACCCACCTCCCAGAATATTGGAAATAAAAGCAAAAATAAACAAATGGGATCTAGTTAAACTTAAAAGCTTTTGCACAACAAAGGAAACTATAAGCAAGGTGAAAACACAGCCTTCAGAATGGGAGAAAATAATAGCAAATGAAGCAACAGACAAAGGATTAATCTCAAAAATATACAAGCAACTCCTGCAGCTTAATTCCAGAAAAATAAATGACCCAATCAAAAAAATGGGCCAAAGAACTAAACAGACATTTCTCCAAAGAAGACATACAGATGGCTAACAAACACATGAAAAAATGCTCAACATCACTCATTATCAGAGAAATGCAAATCAAAACCTCAGTGAGGTACCATTACATGCCAGTCAGGATGACTGCTATCCAAAAGTCTACAAGCAATAAATGCTGGAGAGGGTGTGGAGAAAAGGGAACACTATTACACTGTGGGTGGGAATGAAAACTAGTACAGCCACTATGGAGGACAGTGTGGAGATTCCTTCAAAAACTGGAAATAGAACTGCCATATGACCCAGCAATCCCACTCCTGGGCATACACACCAAGGAAACCAGATCTGAAAGAGACATGTGCACCCCAATGTTCATCACAGAACTGTTTACAATAGCCAGGGCATGGAAGCAACCTAGATGCCCATCATCAGACGAATGGATGAGGAAGCTATGGTACATGTACACAATGGAATATTACTCAGCCATTAAAAAGAACTCATTTGAATCAGTTCTAATGAGATGGATGAAACTGGAGCCCATTATACAGAGTGAAGTAAGCCAGAAAGATAAACACCAGTACAGTATACTAACGCATGTATATGGAATTTAGAAAGATAGTAATGATAACCCTATAGGCAAGACAGAAAAAGAGACACAGATGTATAGAACAGATTTTGGACTCTATGGGAGAAGGTGAGGGTGGGATGATCTGAGAGAATAGCATTGAAACACGTATATTATCAAGTGTGAAACAGGTTGGATGCATGAGACAAGTGCTCAGGGCTGGTGCACTGGGATGACCCAGAGGGATGGATGGGGAGGTAAGTGGGAGGGGGGTTCAGGATGGGGAACATATGTAAATCCATGGCTGATTCATGTCAAAGTATGGAAAAAACCACTTCCATATTGTAAAGTAATTAGCCTATAACTAATAAAAAATAAATGAAATAAAAAGTTAAGCTATTCATTTGGGGCAAGCATTTCATCAATATGCTAACAAAATGATATTTTCAGATACCCATTGATGGTGTATATATCATCACTGGTTTATAGTTAGTAAAATTGAAAATAGACATTTTAGTTTGTATAAGTTGGGAAGAATACTAATTATCATCCAAGTATTGAGAGATTTCAAACAGTCTAAAGTCATAGAACTCCTCTTGAAAGGAAGGCATACATGAAATCACACAAAAAAAAAAAGAAGTCACTACTTGAAGATATACATAGACAATTCTTCATGAAGACGTACAGATGGCCAAAAGGTACATGAAAAAATACTCAACATCACTAATTATTAGAGAAATGCAAG